CATAGCCTTGCTTTCCCAAAAGTTGTTCTCATCCAGAGTGGACTGCAGTTTCGACCTCGCGTTGGTCTTAGCAACGCCATCAGCGGGAGACGAACTGCGACAGTGCAGTCGATTGTTATAGCAGATATATGTTTGCTTCATCGACAATTCCACCAAAATAATATGACATGGCAAAAACGGCCTGGGCTTCCTTTAAAATTCACATTTGCCCTGTGACCAAAAAGGCGCTCGAGGCAGTGTAGCCGAGTGGTTATCGTGTCAAGCTCCCATCCTGCACAGTCGCGGTGCAACTCACGCTGAGGGTGTTGATAAGACCGATGCGAGGTCGATACGTCAGTCCACCCTGAATATTGGGAAAGCAAGGCTATGTAAAATTCAATGGAAACGTCAGCTCAACTCATATCATTGTGGGAAAATTCTTCTTCTATCAGTCCTTCATCACCTTGAACGAAATTGGGTGAATACGTCTCATATTACTGATTTACTGGTAGTCACTAAAACAATACTAAATTCGAAAAATAAACTTTAATTTCGTTTGAAAAAGCGAGTAGAAGGGATTCCCAATTCGGTTCCACCGGAGGCTGTGGTGAGGTTGCCTTGGAGCTTTGACTGTAGATTTTTGTGCGCACCTCCCTCTCAGCGCGCCTCCCCGCAACTCCGATGAATGTGCTGAGCTTTCGTCCGCCACGTGACGGACATCGTCAGAGCAAAACAGCATGATTAACGAGAATTCACAAAAGACACGAATGCTACAAAGGTACCGGCTTCAAACCTACTTTCTTCTTATATTCCAATTTGGTTCACTTAGGCATCTCATGTTTTAGCTGGATGTCCTATACTTGCCTCTATATCTGGGTTTCACCAAGATCTTTTAACCAAATCAAAATTTAGTTGACATAACGCCTATTTATGCTTTCTGCTAATAAATATGCGGTATGGTTAGCTACCCATTAATTTTCAGTTCCTACTAAAAACTTTACAGTGTGTTCAAAATTCGAGCATACAAGCCAAGGACGAGCTTAAACCAACTAATTGAAGAATAAATTATTTATAGAGCACTTTGTATATATCACTTCAAATTGAAATTCAATTAGCCTTGGTTGCAAAAAATTGATATTGCTATGGCAATGAGGAGATATACATGTTTGACAGTAATCAAAAATAATTCGTTTCCAGGATATTAGTAGGCCGAATTGTGTCGAGGTTCATCAGCTATTAGTGGCTTTTTACGTGAATGATTTGCAGCAAATTGTATGCTACTATTATTTTTAATAGCAAAACATGCTTTATGAGAGTGTGCATTGATTGAAACCTTAGGTCATCCCTACCTGATTATTCTTTTAATACTTATTAGGCCGGTAAGAGATTTGAATATAGCCTGACTTGAAAGGATGAACATATCTAAAAAGTTTAAATTAGCGTAGATAAAAGACTATATCTAATATAAAAGTTCGTGTTAATATGGTTGATAGTGATTTCATTTTAAAATTATAATATATATAGAGGTTGTTTGACCTTGTTCTCGCAACTTGGCCATATTGGTAGGAAGACTTAGAGGAACACACTTAGTCCGGAGTCCATTGCATGTATTATTATTTCCAAAGTCGAACCATGGACGTGGTACATTCCCAGACGTATCGTCAGCATCGTCAATGAGTCTTGCCATTCTTAGAACCATACTACCACTCGTCAAAAAGACAAGTGAAGCCGATCTTTTGAGCAAACGTGTGCTAAACAGTTGAGGTATCTCTATTTCTGTCATGGGCTATTCGCATTTCTTATATCATCCTATCACTTCTTCAATGTCACAATTTTTATCGTGTTTTTTTAGATGTAGTGTGGTGTGCCCTTTTGAGCGGCGTTCTCACCCCCCTCCTTCACCCTTGTGCTGAGAATGTAGTTCTTCAAACTAGTGCTCTCCTTAAGCTAGCCAAAATTCAATAGAAAACACCTGGTTTCCCCTGCAACCAAAATACAGTATGCTTTACACCATTCTATTTAAAATCACACTACACCAATGAGATGACCAGAGGAAAAATAATCAAGCCTAACATAGAAACCACACTTGGAAACATAAAGTTTTTAAAATTATCAACACCAACACGTCGTATAAAACCAAAACCAAATAATATTATAGGAATCAACCTTCTTAAAAATAAATATATTAAAAACACACCAACCAAAACAAGATTTTTAATAATAAAACCCACTAACCAAACCTCAATAAAAAAACCAATGGTGGGTGGAAATTTTGCAACATAACAAAACCCACAAAAACAAACAAATATTAAAAATCACGATGTGTTAAATGATCAACCAAAATATAAAACATTTCGGGTGCCACCCATGTATGAAAAAAACCAAATCAATAAAAAAAGAAACCCGGATGACATACCATGACTAAACCCAAATAATGCCATAGTTGGGTGTCCAAACCCAGAATAACACACAAAACACAACAATATAACCGCCATA